CTAGTTTAAATTTATAAGAGCTAAGGAACCCTCACAGAGATTCTGTCAGAGGTTTAGTGAATGTACAGTAAAGCTTTGTGGAGATCAGAAAAGTTCAGGAAGGAAGGATTAGGTAAAGATGTTGACTTTTGGAAAGAGACCAGTTATCATTATCACATCAATTATCATAAGTTTATAAAAAAAATCTTCTGTTTGTTCATTAAGAAATAATTGGGAATCTTTAAGGTCAATGTTTTCTTGGTTAAAACATTTCATGTCAAACAATAAAATATCTGTATCTGGGCCAAGTACTCTTCACTCGCCACTGCTTTGCATCTTATTCTTTGAAATGGGAGAGCAACACCATAATGGGACAACTCTGAAAAACAATTACTTTTTTTGCAGAATATAAGCTAAATACAACTGATGGGGCAATTATTACTTGTAAGCTTTTTAGCAAGAAATTGCCATTTATGTAGATTGGAGTACAGCAAGGATGAAACAATGGCAAATTTCTTTTAAAAATCTAGATTTTAAAAAATTGAAAAGAATTGGGATAGTCAGAGGACTTAGCCACATTAGTCTTCAAGGATACACACAACACTTGTATATTTATATATCAAACATTGCCATCATCTGTACTTTATTTTTATCACCCTTTCTTAGCTTCACCAAATCGAAGAGCTGTGCCTTCCATTCCAACAGATGCCAAAGTTGACTTGGTGCCTAGTCAGAACTCACATTTTGTGTAGAGTGCCATTTAAGGGGTAACTTGTCACTTGGGAAATGTTTCTATAAATTTGGTCTATGGACCACTCTGTGTCAGAGAGTCTTTTGGAATTCTTACATTTGGGAGCAGGAAAGAAGAAAACAAGTCTAGAAATGCAAGAATAGAGGAATCCCTGAGACCAGGAGATGCCTGTAAAGAGTGGAAGCCCCGACCCGCATTTACAGAATCAAAATCACTGAGAGTTGCACCCAGGAATGTGTATTTTAAAAATAATAATCTATGGACTAACATACATATTAAATGGCAAGAAAATTTTTAAATAAAAAAATGTAGTAAATTTTAATGTGTGTGTGTACATATGTACAGATGAGTGTGCGTGTGTTTAGCCTGGGATTCTTATACTGGACACCACTGCATCTGGGGTGTGTTCTGTTTTCCCTGACCTTATTTGTTCTTCATTTGAAATAACTTACTAATTCTATTTTCCCTGACCTTATTTGTTCTTCATTTGAAATAACTTACTATTATTTTGCAGTGTAAAAGACTGATAGGGTGACCATATTCAGTATCAGAAGAGGGTCTGGCATCCCTACTGATTACTTATAGAGCCTTCTGGGATGCTTATACTCTGAAACAGGTGGAAGAAAACAGTTTAGAAATGACAAGACTAGAGGAAGCCACAGATCAAGAGCGACATTGTAGAATTTGCAAAGAACAGAGTGAAATTGAATAAACAATGCAGAACTCAGTGGAAGGGAGAATTTTGCTAGAGAGATTTTTTAAGAATATTTCAAATATAAATGACTTTTATATGTTTTTCTGTTATAAAAACTGAATATTATTTTTAAAAATCTTGGCCATGTTTCTAAACAACTACATCACTTTGTCAGTCTCCATCCACTGGAATAAATCATATTGTGCTGCTTTGAGAGGGAAAATTTTAACAATTTTGTTTTAGATTGTGAATTCACAGGAGCAAAGCTTCCAAGATTTAAGATGAAACAATTTTTTTCATCAAACTTATTATTAAGTAACAAAACTGCTGGCAGAATAAATCATTTTAATATTAAAATAAAATCAAGCACAACTTCTTTAGTCTGATTACTTTGGCATGTGAAAATACTAACTATTCAAAAATAAATAACAGTTAAAACTTGAAATGATCAAAGAAAATATGTTGAGAATTTAAAGATATTTTTCTGTCATTTATGTTATAATGTTATCTCTGTATTCAGATAAACAGAAGAAATAAAAGTCATTTTAACGAAGCTGTGAAAAACCCAAGGCACCAAAACTTTGTTGTGATTATTTTGGGAAAGTGAGATTCTAGTTTTTAGTTGTATACATCAGAAGTGATTTGACAGTCTTTCATTTAACAAAGTGTTCATTGAGCACCTACTTGGCTCTCTTCTAGCCCCTGGTGTTACAGCATTGATAGAGGGCAGTGGAGAAAATGAAGTAGGATAGGATGTTTGGCAGCTTTACATATAGGAGGAAATAGAGGACTTCACTGAAAAGCTGACAGTAAAACATAGTCATTCAGGACATGTGAGATTGAGTCACGAGCCCAGGGAAGAGCATTCCAGATAAACTGAGTTGCAGGTGCAAATGTCCTGAAGCAGAAACGTGCTTGCTGTACTCAAGGAACAGGAAGGAAGTCACTGAGGCTGGAGTGGAGTGACTGAGGGAGGCTATTGTATGAGGTAAGGTTGAAGGGGTCAAGGGGGCTAGATTGACAGGGGCTCAGAGATCATTAATAAGTATTTAGGCTACCTCCTAAACGATGAGACTCCTCCCGAGGGATTTAGGACAGGAATGACAGGATCTGACTTTTAGTCTCAAAGGAATATTCTTGCTGCTAAATTAAGACAAAATTAGGAAGAAATAAGAGCAGAAGCAGAGAGACCTGTGCAGAGGTTGCAGCAGTAGTTCAGGTGAGAGATGGTGGTGGTTTGAATCAACAGTGGTAGCGCCAGAGGTGAAATGGTGGGATTCTGCGTTTATTCTGAAGGCAGAGGTGACAGAATTTGCTGATAAATTGGATGTAGTTAGTGAGAGAAGCAAAAATGACTCTAAGGTTTTTAATTAGAGCAAATAGTAGCATGAATGTGTTATTTACTGATATGAAAAAAGATAACAAAAGAAGCATGGTTAGGGAGCGATGATCAGAAGTTTGATTTGGTGTGTACTACACTCATGATGCCGACTGAATTGCTACTATACTAGAGGAGTTCTCAGTTGTACATACAACTCTGGGCTTTAGGGAAAGTTCCAAGCTGAATTTATAACTAGGAAAAGACGTGTAAGAGGTATTTAAAGCCATAAGGCTGGAAATACAGAAGAGAAGAGGTCTAGGAATGAATACGGGGGAAATTTCAAAAGGTTTGGGAGAAGAGAGGAGCCATCAGGTAACTGAGAAGTCAGACTTCAGGAAGTATTATTTTACTATTAATAACCTTCTTTCAGAGGGCATCAGCAATGAAGGGGCTCAAGTGGACCTAAGTGGTTGTTTCCTTTTCCACAGGAGTCATATGCAGGATTACTTGGTGGTTTATCATTTACCCATAGCTTCATCTAAATCTTAAACCCTGACTTAACCACTCCCCTCCCTTCATGTCATTTTGAATACCCTTATTGGTAGTGCAACTTCATCTGAGTGAAAAATGCAGTTTAGAGAACTGTCAAAAGTAATTGGGGGATTTATCCGGTGAATAAAATTAACCAAGTTGGTTAATACTGCTTTTGATCAAATATTAGGCATGACTATTGGGTAATATCACCGAGTCTACTGTGCAGTTTATGCCAGATCTAAAAGCAATGTCAACAGACGTGTTCTAAAATGTTTTGAGCAATGATATTACTAAAATAAGTATATAGTTTCCAAGAGGACTAGTTTCAATTAACAATTGTATATAATATACATATGTAAGTTCTTTTAACTTGATTAACACCAGTTCTTAATATTCTATTATTTTATCATATATTTATGTAGCTGCTTAAACTCCATGAATATGCATGCAGCCATATATAATATTAAATTGAATCCTCATTTCCCATCCTAAGAATTTCTTAAACAGCTGTTATTCTCATTTAACATGATTATCTTACCAAAAGCAATTGAAAATAATTATTTTATGGAGTAAAACTACAAAAACATATTTAATAATATGCTTAACTATTACAAAAATTGCAAACACTGCAGACTTACCAATAAGCATCACTGGATATCTAAGTTTATAAAGGATGTATCTCTCTTGGAAATTATGCCAATTATTATTATTATTTTTTTACTGAAGAAGTATTTAGTAAGTTTTAGTATGTTCCAGATGCATGCACATCATGTTGAGAGTTTGCACCTTTAAGTCCTTCCAAGTGCATCCTGAGAGATTATGTGCATAAAGAAGAGAGCCAGGAAGTGTTATTGACTTGCCCCACGGCGGTGCAGTCTCCTGGGGAGTTGCACCATGTGGAGGACCCCTAGTCTTCCTGTGGACTCAAGGAAGACTGGAGATGGTGGGGAGGCTTAGAGTTGCCTTTTCTGTTTACTGCACCCAGACTTGGACTGTTAATCAACTATCCTGTGACACAGAACACTCCCTCTCTTAGTACCATGGTCAGATTACTGTCCTTGCCTCTGACTTGACCCAACTTCAGGGAAGAATGGGTTGTAACAGAGAAAGCAGCTTTTAGTTTTCCTTAGAGGCTAATGACTGTTGACATTCTAGATTCTGGGCATGCAGACATGAGGTTCCTGTCCTCAAAAATATTATTACTTTTTGAGGGAAAAGCAATATCTCTGAGCATGTAGAATATGATATTTCTGTTTTGGGGTATAAACTCACAGTACTCAGTGGGAGTCAGGAGGGAAACTGAGTTCCTGGCTGCAAAGAGAAGGTGCTGACACTGTTCAAGGAGATAACTCAGTCCTCCACTAAGCTCAGCATGATGAGATCATTGTAAATTCTTGGGACCTGGCTTTTTTTCCCTTTGGCTCTTAATACTCCAGCTATTTCTGCCTTTTCAGAGCTTTTTCACTAGCTTTGTTCTGACACTTCATTTTGAATAGAATTTAATTTTCATTCTAGGACTTTGCCTGTGAAATATTTTATAGTCTTCATTCCAAGGATCACAGTCATACTGAGGCAGAACATTGTAACTGGCTCATTGTTCTGCACTTAAACTTGGTGTCTGGCCCCATTTCTCTCACTAATGTTGACATTAATTACATAAAGGAGGCAAGTGGTTTCTCAATGTAGGTTTACATGTTTCTCATTATATATAATAAACTTACAATATTTTTCATGTGTTTCACCAGTATGGTCAGCTTCGCATCCTCACATGATATGACTAACTGCACCTTAGGCCTCTTGTCAGGAAACTTTTCACCTGATAAAACAACAGAATTTCAGTGGGTAAAATTGGAAGTGGCTCAGCAGAGGAAAAATGAAAACATTTAAAGACTAAAACAGGACCAATGAACAATATGCAAAATAAACGTTCTTCAGATCATGCTGAAAACAGAATACTCTTCAGGAAACTGGATTGGTTAAAGGTGGGATTTATTTTGTAATTTTCCTGAACCAACACTTTCTCCTTATATTCCATGTTTTGTTTTGATCAATACCATTATTTTCCTAATTATTTAAGCTTGAGACCTCAGTATCATTTGTGGCTCCAGTATTCAGTACAATAAGCTTGAAGTAGTAGTGTGGGTAAAATTGCAGTATTTCCAGAATCTCTTGACTGGCTTTAATGCATCTCAATATCAATAGGTGTTTCCAAGGCATGGTCTCTTCACTTCTCCAGTAGTCCATCTCCATAGCAACAGGTGATGACAAGGGTGGGGGGAGCAAGGGTATATCTGGACTGGAGAGGTTTGGTGGAGTAACAGCCAGGTTACCCTCAAGAGACCTGGGTGAGCAGAAGCGGATGACTGCTTGTAAGCAATAAACAGGGTTCTCCCATTTTATTTCTGCCTTTGACTGATTTTGGTTTCAAAGGTTATTTTCCCTGAGCTGGGAAAATATTTTCCCCCTGGGGTTATACCTGGCAGTAGTCGGTGGGACTTGTGAACCTGAAATCTGTCTCCATGGGTGTGCCACTTGGGTGGAATGCCCCTAAAGATGGTGGGGAGATACCCGGAAACTCCCCTATGGATGGTGCGGATGTCCCAGTGGCTGCTGCAGTGGGGGGTGATGACACACTCTTTCCTCTGGCAGCAGTGGATGGTGTTGCTTCACCAGGGAGTCCCCGATTTGTGGGGTTTCCACTTGGGAAGGCCCTAGTGAGGAATTGTTCTAGAGTAAAGCACCTCCTAGATGGGTAGGCCCTTCTCCATAATAGGGGAAGGGTGGAGACACTGGGAGCTGTGGAATTAGCCTTCTGCAAGACAGAAGACTGCTTAGAGGTCTCCTGAGTGGCCATATAGTAGCTGCGATTGGGGGATGTTTGATTCTTGAGATAGTGGAAAGGGTTATCAGGGAGAAAGACACACTTTGGCAGGAGAGAGACACACTTTGGCATCACCTGGAGGAGCTGGGGGATGACCTATGGAATGCCTTTAAGAAAGAGAGACAGTTATTGAAAAGATGGCTCTTGCTCCTGGAAGATACATTAGCAGTGAGGGAGTAGGCAGAGGAAGATGCATTGCAGGAGGCTGTGGACGAGGGGGAGGAAAGAGTGGTGCCTTCAGCCCTGGAGATGGTAGAGGAGATGTTGGGGGAGGATGGGGGGTGGAGTCAAGGGCAGAACTGTTGCCGAGGCCACTTCCTGAGCCGCCAGCCTCTCCTGGATTAAAGGTCCATCCAGCTGTAGTTGAGAAAATAAAAATGCAACACCACGGGCTCCTCAGGCGGAGGAGCCGCCCCCTCCACAGGTTGTGGAGCACTCTGTGCTCCACCCCTATACCCAGGATGAGCTAGTGGACGTGAGCATTTGGTTTTGGCAGAAGCTGTTGGAACCTCTGCCTACATGGCTCTTGCATCTTTGGGATAGGAGGGTGGAAAACACTGTTATGACAACTCACCCTTTCCTCTAGCAGTGGTTGCAAAATGCCCATCGCACCTCAGGGAGTCAGGTGCTTCTGGATTGGCTGACAGCAGCCATCAGGGCAGTTTGGCCTAATCAGTGTGATTCACCATACTTAACCACTAGCTGGAAAACAGATGCAGAGCTCAATAAATGTCTGTTCTCTGATTTATGGCAACCCTGAGCATTTTCCTGGGACCCCTGCTGTGATAGATGGCTATGGGGGTAAGGCAATTAGAGTGAAGAAAGCCCAAATCCCACTGCGGATAGGGCGTTTACCCTAAAAGGAGTAAACTGTGTACATTTCTCCCATTGCTGAATATATTTTGGGGGTCGATATCCGGTAGGACCTGTGGTTATAGACAACTGCAGGTGAGTTCAGACTGTGGGTACAAGTGGTAAAGGCAGTGCTGAGGGGACATGCTAAGCACCCACCTGTAGCTCTGCCTGTGCCTTGGCAGGTGACAAATACTAAGCAGTATAAATTGCCTGGGGGGACACAAGAAAATTGGAGAAATTCTACAGGAGTTGGAGGTGGGCATCATAAAGCCCACTCATAGTCCTTTTAATTCCCTGGTGTGGCCATTGAAAAAGCTGGAAGGCTCTTGGCATATGACTGTGGATTACAGGGAATCGAATAAAGTCACACCACCTTTGCATGCTGCTGTCCCTCTATAGCAACCCTTATGGATACCCTCAGTCATGAACTAGGGACATATCACTATGTTGTGGACCTTGCTAATGCTTAACATTTTCCAGGATATAGCCCAAGGATTAAGCATAATTTATAGCTTTTCTAATATTTCCCTTGGTAATCTCTGGTTGTATATTCTCTGATGAAATTTAGAGAGGAGAAATTTATTAATAACAAGGAATACTCTGTGTGGGTTTACTGTGGCCCGCATTGTTTTCTGATTGTCAGTCTTAGCTCTCTAATCCTAACTTAAAAATTAAACCTGGGCAATGTGTTTCCTCTTCCAAGGTCTTTCACATGCTTATTACAATAGTTTACACATTATAATTATGTAATATTAATTAATTTAATTGTTAATGTGGACTATTGACATTGAAATAATTAAAATTGACACTGGGTTTTTCTTACAACTTAAATGGTAATTACATAAATCTAATAATGTTTTTTCCTTAAAATATGTTGATTACAATGACTGAGAGACATTGTTAACTGGAGATACTATGAGATAATTATGAGTGTAGTATTGAGGTAAACTGCATTTCATAACAAAAAGATGTGGATAACTGTTGGAGTATCAGCTAAAAATCCTGATGACTTTTGATGTACAATGAATGTTACCTTTTAATTAAAGAGTGAAAAAAATTATATAAGGAACTTAATGTGTTTAATCAGAGGAGTTTTAATTCAAAGGTAGGAAATTAGCATAAATTTGTGGTTGTCTAAATAGTAACCACACACCTGTTACTTGAACTGACTGCAGATGATATCCCACCCTAAATCTCTTGTATAAGATTTGTAGACCAGAATATCAATCGAAACATGCCAGAGTCAGAACCCAGTGAAAATTCAGGCCACTAGGAAGTCTTAATAGTCAATGTAGTGATAGTAGAGGTATTTAGTATTTCTAGAACTCTTATTGTGTGCCAAATGTTGGGTGAAGAATTTTATGTTCATGGACTCACTAAATCTTCACAGCAAATCTATAAAGTTTGTGTTACTTGTATTTTATGCATAAGGAAACTGAGGCATTTGGTCCAAGATCATGTAGAAAAACAAATGGTGCAGGGTTAAATGATCCCTAAGGCCTATGTTCTTAGACATCATGTAATGGGACAAGGGGGCAATAACCTATGGAAAAGAGTATTTAAATGGAGAACCCAGAGAGGCAGAATTTTGAGAACAGCTTCTACGGACAAGAGATGCTAGAATATTTTGATTTTCTGCTTCAAGTTAGTCTGGAGTATGTGATCATGCCTCATCTAACCATTTATAGTGACCCCAAGAGCTGTTAAAACCTTACTGATCCTCAAGATGACTGTGTTGAAATGCTTTAATGCATGGAACTATAGCAACTAATATAGTGCTTATCAGGCATAATGTGCCTATCAATGTTAAAAAATAGCATTTCAAAACTTGACTTTTTTCAGATGATAGTATATCCGTATGATTTAAAATGAGAATTTATTTTAAAAGTATATGGCAGAACATCTTCCCATTCGTAACCCAATTTCCCCACTATTATTTTATGTGTCCCGTATATCCCTCCAGAGGGACACATATCCTTCCAAAGTTTCCCCATATAAGCAAATATGAGTATTTTTATTTTTCCTCTTTTCCACAAAAGTAACATTATATTTACTGAGCTGCATACAAATCTTGGAGATATTTTCACATCAATGATACAAAGTTCTTTATTTTTTAAAATAGTTTTATATTATTCTATTATGTGGAAATACCATAATTTATAGAACCAGTTCCCCATTGATAGGGTTGTTTACCATTAATAAGACTGTTTCCAGTGTTTTCCAGCTGTTACAAGCCATGTTGCAGTAAATAGCTTTGTGTACATGTCATTTCATATCTGGCCACAAATATCACAGGATAAACTTCCAACAGCAGAATTCCTGGTCAAAGGGTATTAGCATTTGTAATTTTGATAAATATTGCCAAATGTCTTTCATGGCAGTTGTACCAATTTGCACAATCACTAGTAATATACGAGAGTGCCTGCTGATTCATAACCAAGTTGATTAATTAAATCTTTGAGGTTTAGCCAATATGATGAGTTAAAAATGGCATGAAAGTAATTTTAATTTGCATTTTCCTTAGGAGTGAGGTCAATGATTCTTTCTTTTGGTTAAAGCCACTTGTATATTCTTTTGTGTGTGAGTGTGCATGTGGATTATCTTTCCATTTTCTATACACAATTTCTTAGTTAGCTGTTGGTCCTTTTCTCATCAGCTTTCAGAAGATGGTTATATGTTAGATAACCAGCCCTTTTCTGGGATAGATAGCAAAAATTTCACTTTGCCATTAACTTACCAAGTTTTTTTTTTTTTTTGACTTTGCTACTGTGTTTTGTGTCGTGTGGGACTGTTAATAGTATCTGGACTTTTAGTCATAGCTCGAACTGCTCATTCCAAGATCATAAAGGATTTTGTCCATGTTTTTTTTTGTCACATATATGATTTCATTATTTACATTTTAAAATCTATCATCCATTTGGTATTTATCTTTGTATGTGGTGTGAAGTATGCTATCCTAACAGTATTTATTGACTTTTCCCTTATTGTTTTGGCATATATTAATCCCTGAATATAAGTTGACTCTATTTACGGACATTCTTTTATATTCTATTTATTCATCTATTTATGTGCCAACACCA